CAGTCAATGTTATAAAAAACATTAGATGATACGTACATATTCTTAATTCTTAAATCTATTCCAGAGAAATACACCTTAAAGGACTATAAGAAAGTTTTGACTGTTTTCAATGTTCATAATACTGACTCTGGAGTTTACCAGTGTTTGTCTGAGAATAGTGAAGGTGTCATGCTTAAGGAAGCAATCCTCAAAGTAATAGGTGAGGGGACTTTTTTGGCAACGTACCATGCATAATAAGTCATTTTTTTTTATAGAGAATGTTGTGTTTTGTAGTTGGGTATGACATTTATTTTACGAGTGGGATAGGATTTTTATATTTACTCAAAATTACTAAATACGAGTAAAAATATAAAAAGATCTCTCATGAGTAACATAAATATCATACACTGAGTATATTGATTATCAAACATTGAATTTTCTGTTCATTACAATTTATTTGATTTCCCCTGTGTCTTTGTCTTTTTTAACATTGTGATTGATTACATGACGTCATAGTTGAGGGTTTGAGATGTCAAAAGCTTAGCAACGTTGTATTGAAAACATATATCTGAGCCCAACTCTGGTATTTTTGGGAATCCGTCTTTATGCCCTATTCACAGATTTTTAAGATCGATCACTGGTTGTAATCTTTGCATTTTCATTAAATTTTGTGCAACAACAAAAGATTTTGCTCAACAGCAGACAGCGGTCTCAGAATAAAAAAATGACAAAATCCACTTTATCTCGCCCGTTGTTAAATACTGATATAAAAGGCCATTTCACTGTTTTAGATTTTCAATTGAAAATAAACCCCTAATTCATCTCAATTTTCAAAAGAAAAATGAACAAATAATTTACTTTAATCCATTACAGAAAACCCAGCAAAACCTTTTATTACCGGTGATCTGGAACCAAAGGTGAATACCTACTCCAAGTTTACCTGTTCAAGACAAAATTCTGATTATGATACTTACGCAGAAGTGTTTGCTTCATTGTACAAGTGGTATGTCAACGACACTTTACTCAAAAATGTATCGAGTCATACAGGTTTATGGTACAGAAGGCTCTAAAGTACAACAAATACTCATGTCAAATACCCTCCTCTGTTAGAAGTGACCAGGTTCAAGTTAATCCTTCTTGTAAGTATCAATTCATTGTCCTTTATGATGATTGGTAAAGTTACTCAAAAATATTTGTTCGAAAGTAATTCTATTTATAATATATGATAAAGGTAAATGTTTCAACAAAGAACTTTATTCGGTAATAACCAATATTTGCCCCCCAAATCAAACTTTGATGGATAATATATTCAATTAAGTTCTTAAACAGGGGAGTATATGCTGACTTCAAAGCACTGAATATTTTCATAAGTAATGACGCCATATGTACGTAATAACGTCACAAACATGACGTAAATTTCAGTTTTTTATGAATTTTACAGAAGAATGTACATATTTCGTCGATATTTTGAGTAAAAGTCACCAAGCGCATGTGTGTTCAGGATCAATATTTTGATATTATGTGTAGAATGAAATATGTCAATTTTGTTCCTGAAGAAACTTGCGCTCTATAAATTTTAAAGCTAAAATTGATTAAATGTTGTCCATTTTGTCCTCTTTCTGAAAAAGGATATAAAATCGGACTAGTTTGTGACGTCATAAAAAGAAAAATTGTGAATACACTGCTTTGACCTATAATATTTTCTGTTAATTTATATTTCCCATACAATTTATTGAATTCAGCACATTTCAGGAAGTTTTCAAAATTTGACTTTTGTTGGGGCAAATATATGCAATATACCGCATATAGTTCTTTTTTATATTGAAGAAACATATGTTATTACTTATATGTGGTAAACATTTTAATAAGTGTAATGAAAGGCTCTCTTACTGGTCAAAGACAGTAAAAATATCTTTTTATAATCTAAAAGACAAAAATGTTGTTTTAAATCATCATTTTTATTATGAACAAATTTAATGTCTCCCGAATCAAGAAATAAACAAAAAACTACATATACACTGATCTTTGCGCTGATGAATGTTAACAGATGGCCCTAGCAAAGAAGACCTAAAGATTTCTCCACCAATAAGAGATAAAATAACTATATGTGATGGGAATACAATCGGTCCCTATACTTGTGCTGTTGACTGTAATCCTCCATGCAGTGTTCAGTGGAAGTATACAAAGTGGAATGGTCGGCTGGTGAATGCAACACACTTAGGTTATAAATCTGTGACATTATTGAAACGTCAGATAGACAGAGAGGAAGTGGCAGAATTAAAATGTGTGACTAAAGGTCGTGAAAACAAAGAGGAAGCACTGATTATAAACATGGAAATTCAACGTATGTACACCTCGCAAACATTTTAAACGTTCATTCCATGGAAAATTTTAGGAAACAATATACAATAAAAAAAATTTCATGTTTTGTGTGAGTTAAAAGAAAAAATACGAACTTTAAACGTCTTCCTAGCAAGGCCTGTTGTATCTTTGCCAGACATAAATAATAGGGCATATAAGTTGAAATTTTGTATCGGAATATCGATATCTAGAAGACAATCAGTTAAATAAAAAACGAATTTACTTTTATGAAAACAAAATTTGTGTAGTTATCACAAATAGTTTAAACGTTTGGTTATGTTCATGCAAACATTTCCGAAATGGAGGTGTTGTATTCTAGCAGCATTGTTCATGGTCCAGAGAATATTTTACATCGCTATTTTTTTACATAGTATTTCTTCAAAGAATGTGGTCAGGATCGTACCAAATATTTTATTCTCAATTTTGATTTTTCAAATCCCAGATATCTGCAAGATATTTTCTGCATATCGTGTTTCGAATTCGAAAAACAGCTAAGTTAAATAATTTACATTGTAATAATCTGCCTTCATTCTTTATTTTCCAGATTTGTCCGAACCTATGATTTATATAAATGGTTTTCTAAAAAGAAACGTTTCTGATATACAAGAGGGCACACTTCTCCAGATGTCATGTCATGTGGATGGGAATACTATCCCTACAGTAACGATCTACAGAGGAAAGGGGAACATGATTCTTGGGAAACAGGACGATCATTGGTTTAATCATACTTTTGAAAAGGTTCATTGTTTCGATACAAACATATTCATATGTATAGGCAGATCGAATGTTTGTTCAACTGAAGAGACAAAAGTCCCTGTAAATGTTCTTTTATCGATTAAGATACATATCATTGCGAACCCAAAACCAAAGCTTATCAAATGGTATGGAGTATTTCCAAATCCCTGTATCGTTTCTACAGTCACTCAAAGAAATCAAGTCTTCCGACATTGGGTGTCCGGTACAATCCCAATCTATAATAAGAGCTTTCTTGGAAACTATACCTTATATGGAGATGAATTTGAAATAACAACTATTCACCTAAAAGGTTAATTTTAATTTAATATAATAAAAACTTAGTTATTTCCTAAAGAAGCTAAAAATAATAACAAAGTCAAATTTTAGCCTGAGTTACAATCAAATGAATATTTGAAAAGGTTATTTTTAAAGTTATTTAGTATATTTAGTTACTTGCACAGTTTAAATTCATCATTTTTTTAAACTGGCATGAAAAGGAGTGTTTAGATTAAACATGTACGAATTAATGGCAGATTCTCTATTGGCATTGGCGTTTATGGTTGTTAAGTGTAGAAAAAATGTTTAAAATGCTCACTGTGTACTACGTTTAGGAAATCACTTTCTTTATAAACGATATCCTAGTAATATTTAATTCATTAATTCAATAATTTACTTTTTCTTGATTTATACATATACATTTATATAATGTCATCTAACCTTTCTTTAAAGATTTGAAAGAAATTCTGCTTTACCTATTCAGGAAAGCTTCAAAAACACTTTGAACTCTTCTGTCCATTCCTCAGAGAGAGATATCTATATGCTAAACCTACTACAAATGAGACTTTTATCATCGAGAAGTTGTATGTGATCTTCAAATTTTAGAGTTAACTAGTGCTAATTGTAAAGGGGACCGTTACAGATGTTCCCCAAACGCTCCCCAACTCCCTTTTGGTGCCATATCCCCTGTAAGCTTCATTAAATAAGACAATCTCTATGCATTTGAGATTTTAACAACGTTTATCCAGAAGTGTACCAAGTTCATTCAAATTTTAGCATTGCATCCGTGCGCGTGTAAATGCATGTGCGTAATGGCCATATCATATTGTCTACACAATCTATATATTTTGATATACTAAATATTAAAGTATTTAATCCAAAAGTATTAAAAAATACGCTCATTCAAGTGTATTTTTGATTTTACTCATTTCACGTGCACGCACGTGCATACACGAGCATGGTGACCATACCTTCTTGTAGAAGTCCATTACATCTATCTATGTTCTAAATCCCACCCCGTTTGGTTGAAAACCAAGGGAGTTATAGCTGTTTAAAGTTTCAGCCAATGAGATTGCAACAGACGTACACGGACGTGTATGCATGTGCATGTTAACCATATCTTCTTGTAGAGGTTCATTATATCTACACTACCCTCCATAAATAAGTATCCACTGTTATTTTTTCACTATTTTTAAATGAAAAAAGCTAAAAGTCTAAAAAAAATATTTGTAATTGTCTTTTATAAAGAGAGATAACCTATATTGAGTACTGTAACAAAAGAATCCAATGAGAAATTAAATTTTTAGACAAAAATTAATCAATTAACACCATATATTTTGTGAAACTCATTCTCAACATTATTAAATGATATTTGTATCATAATAATCTCAGACTTTTACTTGCCTACTTTGAGTATTTAAAAGAAAAATAAACTTGAAAATAAAGAACTTTGATAACCAGTAACCTCTTATAACACGAAAAATTACATATGATGGGCAAAAATAAAAATAAAAATTGAGAAGATGAGGCAACTGACGTTAGAAGAAAGAATTCTCTGCAACCTGCTGCATCAACAAGGAAACATGAAAACCAAGGGAGTTATAGCTGTTTAAAGTTTCAGCCAATGAGATTGCAACAGACGTACACGGACGTGTATGTATGTGCATGTTGACCATATCTTCTTGTAGAGGTTCATTATATCTACATGTATCTATGTTCCAAATCCCATTCTGTTTGGTTGAAAATCAAGGGAGTTATAGCTATTTAAAGTTTAAGCCAATCAGATTGCAGCGCACGTGCATGCACGTGTTTTCGTGATAATTGCTATATATCATGTTGTAGGAAATCCTAATGTATGGCTATGTTCAAAATTTCAAAGGATTTCAACAAAAAACAAGAAAGATATTGAGACTTTAGTTTCAACCAATCAGAGCGAAGCGCACGTGCATACGCATGAGATCTTGCTATTTTGACCATATCATTTTGTCTATGCTACTAATATATCCTTATATTATGAGTTTCAAAGCATTTCATAAAAAAATTGAAAAGTTACGCCTATATCAATTAAATCGGTCATTTCAAGTGTTGCACGTGCCCGCTCTTGCAAGCACGTGCGCGCAAAATGACCTTCGTTCCGCAAATCTACATAACATGTCTACTGACCCTAAAAAGGTTTTACCTAAGTCGGATGTGTAGTTTACAAGATCACTCCCGGACAAAAAAGTACCTAGGAAGAAGAAAAATAACTAGTGCTAATTGTAACGGGAACCGTTACAGATGTTCCCCAAACGCTCCCCAACTCCCTTCTTGTGCCACATTCCCTGTAAGTTTCATTAAAGAAGGCAAAATCTATGCATTAAAGACGGCAACAACGTTTTCCCAAAAGTATACCAAGTATTTCAAATTTAAGCAATGCAGGCGTGCGCATGTGATTGCATGAGCGTAATGACGATATCATTTTGTCTACACTATTTTACTCGTATGCATGTGCACGCACGTGCATGATGACCATACCTTCTTGTAGGAGTCCATTATGTCTGTCTATGTTCTTAATCCCATCCTGTTTGGTTGAAAAACAAGGGAGTTATAGCCATTTAAAGTTTAAGCCAATCAGATTGCAGCGCACGTGCATGCGCATGTTTCCATGACAATTATTATATATCATATTGTAGGACATCTTAAAGTATGCCTATGTTTTAAATTTAAAAGCATTTTGTAAAAAACGAAAATATATTGAGATTTTTGTTTCAGCCAATCAGAGCAAAGCGCACGTGCACGCACGTGCATGCATGTGAATGGTGATCATACCATCCTGTAGGAGTCCTTTATGTCTATCTATATTTTAAATCCCATGCTATTTGGTTGAAAACCAAGAGAGTTATAGTCATTTAAAGTTTCAACCAATGAGATTGCAGCGCACGTGCATGCGCGTGATTTCATGAATAATTTTATATATCATATTGTAGTACATCCTAATACATGTCTATGATATACGTTTCAAAGCATTTCATCATAAAACAAAAAAGATATTAAGATTTCTGTTTCAGCCAATCAGAGCAAAGCGCACGTGCATGCGCGTGAGTTCATGCAAATTTGACCATGTCATCTTATGTACATAACTTATATATCTTTATATAATGAGTTTCAAAACATTTTATCAAAAAATGTAAAAGTTACAACCATATTAAATATATCAGTCAGTTTACTCATTGCACGCGCCCGCACGTGCATGCGAATGCGTGCAAAATGACTTTCGTTCGGCACATCTACACAACATGCCTACTAACCCTAAAAAGGTTTTAACTTAGTTTGGTGAACAGTTTCTGAGAACACTTCCGGACAAAAAAGTACCGGAGAAGAAATAAGAAGAAAAAAGAATAATAATAATAATAATAACTAGTGCTAATTGTAACGGGAACCGTTACAGATGTTCCCCAAACGCTCCCCAACTCCCTTTTGGTGCCATATTCCCTGTAAGCCTAATTAAATAAGACAACATCTGTGCATTTTTTACTTTTACAACGTTTTACCAAAAGGATACCAATTATATTCAAATTTTAACATTGCATGCGTGCCCATGTGAATGCAGTGCATAATGATCATATAATCTTGTCTACACTTTCTATATATTTAAATATACTTAATATTAAAGCATTTAGTCCAAAAGTATTAAAAAATCACTCATTCCAGTGTATTTTTAATTTCACTCATTCCAAATGCACGCACGTGCGTGCACGTGCATGATGACCATACCTTCTTGTTAGAGGCCCTTATATCTATCTATATTCTAAATCCCATCGTGTTTGGTTGAAAACCAAGGGAATTATAGCCATTTCAAGTTTCAGCCAATCAGATTGCAGCACACGTGCATCCACGTGATTTCAAGAATTTTTTTTCTAAATCATATTGTAGAATATCCTAATGCATGACTATGTTTTAAATTTCAAAGCATTTCATCAAAAATCAAAGGAGATATAGCCATTTAAAGTATCAGCCAATCAGATTGCAGCACACGTGCATGCGCGTGATTTCTTGAATTTTTTATATATCATATTGCAGGATGTCTTGATGCATGACTATGTTTTAAATTTCAAAGCATTTCATCAAAAATCACAGGAGATATAGCCATTTAAAGTTTCAGCCAATCAGATTGCAGCACACGTGCATGCGCGTGATTTCTTGAATTTTTTTATATATCATATTGCAGGATGTCTTGATGCATGACTATGTTTTAAATTTCAAAGCATTTCGTCAAAAAACAAAGGAGATATAGCCATTTAAAGTTTCAGCCAATCAGATTGCAGCGCACGTGCATGCGCGTTATTTCATGAAATTTTTTCCATATCATGTTGTAGGATACCCTAATTCATGACAATGTTAAAAATTTCAAAGCATTTCGTCGGAAAACAAAAGAGATATTGAGATTTTTGTTTCAGCCAATCAGAGCAAGGCGCACGTGCATGCGCGTGAGTTCGTGCTAATTTGACAGTGTCATACTATTAACACTATTAATGTATCCTTATGTAATGAGTTTCAAAGCATTTCATCAAAAAATATAAAAGTTATAGCTATATTAAGTATATCAGTCAATTCACTCATTTCACGCGCACGCACGTGCAGGCGTATGCGCGCAAAATGACCTTCGTTCCGCACACCTACACTACACACCTATTAACCCTAAAAAGGTTTTAGGTCAGTTGGGTGAACAGTTTCTGAGAACACTCGCGGACAAAAAAGTACCGGAGAACAAATAAGAAAAAAAATAATAATAATAATAATAATAAGAAACCGAGTAAAAACAATATGTTCCCAAACTCCGTTTGGGGAACATAATAATAATAAGAAACAGAGTAAAAACAATATGTTCCCCAACTTCGTTTGGGGAACATAATAACTAGGGCTAATTGTAACGGGGACCGTTACAGATGTTCCCCAAACGCTCCCCAACTCCCTTTTGATGCCATATGCCCTGTAAGCTCTATTAAATGACATACTTTATACAATTTAGACGTAAACAACGTTTCCCCAGAAGAA